GAGAGAGAGAGAGAGAGAGAGAGAGAGAGAGAGAGAGAGAGAGAGAGAGAGAGAGAGTTGAGGAAACAGGTTTGGGAGGAAGCGGTGAATTGATGGAGAGTTGATGATGATGCAGCAGCAGAGTTAAGCTCCACCCCTCAGGTCTCTTCAACATCACACCACTGTTGTAGCYCCTCCTTCTCTGTCAGACACGTTAAAAATGTTGAGATGCGACACTGAACACCTCAGCACACGGAGCCGCTGCAGTCTGACCGTCAGGAGAGGAAACAGGGAAACTCTCCTCTTCTGAAACAAATATCTTTTTAAAAAAGGACATGATGGTGWTGATGAAGGGCCTGTCCACGTGTTGGTGTCTCTGCATGCTGATTCACTGCTTGGCTCAAGCAGGTAGGCCATTCCACTTAAATAACATATTTTTGAGATGCTAACGCTGCCTAAATACTTGTTTAATGCTTCATTTTGGGCTTTAAACATTCGCGCGTTTCAGTATTTTTCACAATTTTAATGCTAAATTCAGTTAATTCACATTTTAAAGACGGATAATCAAGTTAAACCGGGTTGAAGACTCAACTGGGGTTTCGTTTGAATGAAATTGACGCACAACGCGCTGATTGGTCCGTTTGGCTGTCGGACGTACGAAGCAGCCAACCACGTTCCGGTGGTTTTAAGTGGGTGGGACCACATTTAAACAACAGGTTGTAGAGGAAGGAAGTGGTCTGTGTTGGTAACCTTCAGCTGCACAAASTTATCACCCAAAACCCAAAGTGTCCTTGTCTTTTTTCTGCTTATCTTCCCTCTGTTATTGAAGTTTGCTTTCAGAGAGACAGATTACATTAATAACACATTAGACCAAGAAAAACTGGGATAAATTCTGGAAAGGTTGTAGTTAGAAACTGAAAAAAAAAAAAAAACTTGTTTTACATTCCTTTTTGGAAAAAATGAACTTCACTTTTATTTACAGAAAAGACAAAGTCCCAAAAGAAGAGACAAAATAAAATATAAATAATTTTTTTCCATCATGAGGCAGACATTAAAGAAAAAAGGGGAAAAATTAAAATAAGGCTTAGCTGCCCAATATATCAAATTATATCTGCTATTTCAGTCCATTAGGAGCAGGATTTGGTTTCTGAATCTAAAAAGGAATGAGTCAAAGGAAAGAACCTGATGTACTTCAGTCTGTTACGTACTGCAGACTCATCCTGACAGCTGCTCCTTTTAATGTTCCCCTTAAATCGTTTTACTAAGGCTGGTTTTTTTAATTGTTTCCAGTTAGCTGTGCTCATTTCCAGTCGCCAAATCTGCCAGAGAGCATCAGCTGTAGCTCTGATTTGTTTAAAACAGCATCACTTAATGATTGTTTTAACTCTGAATCAGAACACAGGAATGTTTTTTCCTATGTTAGAGACTAAACATTGCATTTTGTAATGCCTCACAAAAAGTTGCAAAAATTATTTTTCAGAAATTTAAAAGCAGCTTTACAACTGCTTCTTTTAATTAGTTAAAAGTTCAACATTTCTTGAATGAATGCACATCTGCTGCATTCACGCCTGAGTTTGAAACTTTTCTTATGATGAAAAGGATCAGATGTTGTAAACGATGTCTTGCGTGATCTCACGCAGTATTACAAGAAAATACTTTTTCCCCATTGTGACACCAATGACATCTCTTCAGCGAAGAATAAAGTCCTGCTCACTTGGTGCACAGCATCCTGGTTATTAATTAACTGCTGGTTTTGTGTTTGAGTGCATTGTGCAGGTGGTCATTGTGTGCATATTACCTGCATGGGCTGTAAAATGACAGGAGGGCGTTGTGACAGAACAAAGTGACGTCACAAGGATTGTCATCGCACCACAACCTGTCCGACTTCTTTGAGAGCGGCTGCCAGTTTCTGCTGTTTAACACGTCGCAGCATTGTAGCATTTCATTGACCTTTTATGGCAAACTGAAAGTGAGGAATATCAGTTAAGGAGTTTGTCAGATAGTTTCTGCTCTTCTTTGTGAATGGAGGAGYAAATGAATCACTTTTGCCCAAAAACACCTTGAGGTTTGAATCTCAGCTCTGCATTGGTGGGTTTTTTTTTTTTCACTTTTCCAACTGCAACACTCACAAGTTCAGTTTTTTAAACACGTCTCATTCAAAGTGGAAATAAATGCTAATAGTGAAGTTGCGGTAGATTAATTTAAAGGAATATGTGATTAAACAGCACAGTGGTACAATTGGTAGAGCTGTTGCTTGATCTTTCTGGGTGACGTTTGTGTGTTTTCCTGTGCACGTGCCTGGRTATTTCCAGATACTCGGTTTCCGCACAGACAAAAAAACATGCTCTGGTACTCTCTGGTAATTCTAAAATGTCTCGACGTGTGAGTGAGAGTGTGAACGTTTTCTTTTTATGTGTCCCGGTGCAAGATGACTGCTAAAGCACCAACTCCTCTGCAACCCTGAAAAGAAATAGTGCAGAGGGATGGAGCTTCGTTTTTAAAACCGCTGCATTAAAAAGAACAGAAGCGTGGATGAAAATGGAAACATTCTTTTTTTTTTTTTTTTAGATTTTTCCATCCAAAGAGATGAGGTCAGTAGTTTAGAATCAAGAAATGACCACATATGACCTACTTGTGGTCCCTCTGTTTATGGAGTATTCGGTGGATTATTCTTAAGGGGAAAGTGACCATGCAGGAAGCCTTTTGAATTTAGTGAGAAATTAATCACAGCTGCAGTTACTACTACTTCCTGGCCATTTCTTTAAAAGTACAAGTGAACTGGAGGCACAAAAAGAAAATTTTATATTCTCAACAATAATCAATAGAGTTCAGTCTTCTCCCTTTTGTTTTTCATCGTGCTGTAAAAAACGAGGAGGRCAGTAACGTTCAGTGACCAGCCCAGAGTTAAGAAAGCATCCTGTCTCACTTTTACAATCCTCTGAAACTCATCCAAATCTGTCAGACCTGTCTCATGTTTTGGGTGTCATCACTTTGGGTGTTGTCACTTCATTGTGTCTCTACGCTCCGCCTTCGCCCGTGCGTCCCTGTTGAGATGTATTGTAAGGAATGCCACACCGGGGCCAATCAGCAGCTGGTGGTGTGATTGCAGCTCCTCCCATGCTATTGTCTTAAAGGGATAGTCTGACCTGTCCCCGTGAGGCCTTCGGGCCACAGCAGAGTTGGGCCGTGCAGAGAAGGGATGCAAAGATGATGTGAATGACTGACAGGATCTGAGTGGCCCTTAGTTTCACCTGCTGTTGTCACTGATCCTCTCAGAATATAACATCTGAGAAAAAATGAACCATTTCTAATGTTACAATCAGTTATGATGCAACTATTCTCTTGCAACAGTTTAAAAAATTGCCATTGCTCCATATGTTGCTACACCATGAGTCAGACAGGATTTACTTTATTTGGTAATCGTCTGGGTTTGGCAACAATGTAAAGGTGTGGTTTTCGCACCATCTCTTATCCAAAACTTTGATTAGAACATGTGTTTCTGTGTGTAATTTAGAGTTAAACAATAACTCCAGGAGGATGTTAGTTGTGTTGACACAAGCTCTTTATGGAAACAGGGTTGTAAAAAATGCTGATAACTACCTTGGAGTTGGCGAGAGTCAATGTTAGCTTGTCCTCATGGAGCATCACTGTCCTCCACAGACGCTGCGCTCACGTGCACCTCCACTCAGTTCAAGTGTGGAAATGGGAGGTGCATCACCCAAAAGTGGATCTGTGATGGAACTGATGACTGCGGCGATGGCAGCGACGAATTACCTGCCGCCTGTGGTATGTTGGTTTTTTTTTTCACTGCTTTTATTTTAACCTGACACTCGAAAATGTAGATAAAGGATTAAGAGACAAAATATAATAATCAAAGGTGTTCATTGCAAACTAAAAAAATAAACCTAAAAATGTTAAGTTGAATTATATCACTTGGTGCCGTTTTAAAAAGTTGTCTCCAATAGAATTCCCAGATAGAATCACATGCAAATTTGAAATGCAGGTATGCACTTAATGTAAACAAATCTGAAAAAAAGGCACATGGAAACTTTAACAATATAATTGACCTGAATCAGGCTGTCTTTCTGCGGAGGTAAACAAACATGGAGGAATCGGACACAGTTACCATTAATTTGAGAAAAAATAAAGCTGCACAAATTTAGTTTCATTCTTTATTATTATTATTATTATTATTATTATTAATCTGTCTTCATGACCTGTAATGAGTACACTAATTACTTGTCTCAATAAGCAATTTTTTAATTTGCAAAATTATTACAATTTATATGTTTTATAAGGATGTAAAATAATCCATATTACCTGTTTGTTTTTTAGCAACAAAAACTTGCTCCGAGTCACAGTTTAACTGTGGCGCTCCGACCAATGAGTGCATACCGAAGAACTGGCACTGCGACGGCGCAGCTGACTGTAAAAATGAAGCTGATGAGAAAAACTGCAGTAAGTTTCACACTGGAACGGGGTTTATTTACTGGATCAGTAACTAGAAACACTTCCATCAGCCATATCCAGGTCTTACTTATTTACAGGAGCTGCCAGGTTGTAGAGTCTGCACACTACTGATGACAGAACTCTGTTTCTCCAAGCTGAGATCATTCACACACAGATTAAATATTAATTATTTACAGTTGTATTCATAAAAATAGATTTGTGTTTTGTTTATGAAGATTTATAGTAAAATAAAAAGCTTTTATACATTTACTGTGTTTAGTAGAAACAACTTAAACATAAGGTAATGATCAATTTTCAACAATGTGTTGTTGTTAGTGTCAAACTCACTTATTTTCTACCTTCGTCATCAAATTAATTTCTTTCCCTCCATTTTCCTTAACCACAGCTGTGAAACAATGCTTGGCCAATCAGTTTCAGTGCGCCAGCGGCCAGTGCATATCCAAGATGTTTGTCTGCGACAAAGAAAACGACTGCTCCGACGGCTCGGACGAGCAGTCCTGTCCCAAACCCACCTGCAGCCCTCAGTCCTTCCAGTGCAACAACCTGATGTGCGTTCCCGCCCAGTGGCTCTGCGACGGCGACGCGGACTGTACCGACGGGTCCGACGAGTGGCCGAAAAACTGCCGGAAGAAGCAACCGGAGAAGAAGCCGTCGTCGTGTGGCGATCACGACTTTGAGTGTTTGAGTGGGAACTGCATCCACAGCAGCTGGAGGTGTGACGGAGAAATAGACTGCTCTGATCAATCGGATGAGGTCAACTGCAGTAAGTTCATTTGATTTAATCCATTTGTTAAATTCTCTAAAAATAATAATAATAATAATAAATTGAGTTCCTGCATACTTTGCCATTTTGGAAACAAAACAATTTTCTGCTTTTCCTCCTTGATTTTATTTTTGCCCCATTTTTCACCTGTTATCTCCTTTTTTGTTCTAGCCCAAACTATTTGCCGTTACAATCAGTTCCGGTGCAACAACGGCACCTGCATCAGTGACAACCTCAGATGTAACTTAGAGCCTGACTGCTTAGACGGTAGTGATGAGATCGGCTGCAACACAGGTGTCTTTCTTAATCTGCCCTCACAACTTCACACAGAATTAAATGATTTTATGTTGAAGCTGATGTAAAGTCATAATGTTTTCTAAAGTCCAGTCCCTAATCCCCAGATCTCTTTTTTTCTCAGATGCATGCAAAGACCCGACTGAGTTCAAATGTGGTAGTGGGGAATGCATCAGCATGGACAAAGTGTGCGACAAGGACAGAGACTGCAGTGACGGCTCTGATGAACCTAGCAGTGTGTGTGGTAAGTTACGTGTTTCGACATCTTGTGCACCCATCAGAAAACCCAGCTAACAACAATCCTGTAATAAGTCACCATTAATGTTTTTGTCCCCACAGGAACAAACGAATGTTTGACAGAAAACGGTGGCTGCTCTCATAAATGCAATGACCTGAAGCTTGGCTACAACTGCTCCTGCCCTGCTGGGTACCATCTGAATATTGACAATAAAACCTGTGAAGGTAAGCTRATGTTATGATTTCAGTTCAGTGTGTGTGATGCAGTGACACAAATATAAAACTGCGGCCAACTAAACACACACAGCTGTCAAAACAGGACTCATTGTTTGAACCTGTGTTTATCCGTTTGCAGACATTAATGAATGTGAGGATCCTGACATCTGCAGTCAGATCTGCATCAACCTGCCGGGAAGCTTTAAGTGCGACTGCGGCGAGGGCTTTCAGATCGACCCCATGAGCAACACGTGCAAAGCTGAGTCAGGTAACAAATGATAAAAAAGTTCTGGCTCCGCTTACAGCTAAAACGCAACTTGCTTATCACACGAGCTCTTAATAGACCTGTCTGARCATCAAAACCTCCCCTCTTCTGTCTCCTGCAGGGTCGTTGCCCTCGCTGGTCTTCACCAACAAGCACGAGGTGAGAAAGATTGCGGTGGACCACAGCGAGTACGTCCAGCTGATCTCTCAGCTGAAAAACGCAGTGGCTCTGGACGTGGACATGCCGAACAAGAGGATCTTCTGGTCTGACCTGTCACTGAAGAAAATCTTCAGGTTAGAGTTAGACTTTGTTTAAAAAAAGTGGTTTGAACAGGACACTTTATCGCTTCATCTCTGTACATCAGAAACTGGGATGTGGGCAAGGCGAAGCTCTGAAATACCGTATTTATTCAAGTATAATACGTGAAATTAAATCCATAAAATCATCCATAAAGTTGGGGGGTAGTATTGTACTCGGATAAATATTTTTACTTATGTATTTTAATCAGCTTCATTCGCAAAATGCCTGAGTCTGGAAATGAGACCGCGTCGTAAAAAGCAGTTGAAACGAGCTCACCTCTGACACTCCTCCGTGCTTCAGAGCGAGATAATAACAGATCCAGGCAGGCGACATGATGTGAAAAAAAGGGGTAAAAAGTTTTCCTGCACCTTAGTAATGATAACGAACTAATGACATTAGTGTGTGACCRRGCCGCTCCTYGAACAACAACAAACACATGTTCGTCTGTAATGGCTGCCGGTGTTCTGAAAATTTYGTATCCCTGAAAAACGTTTCCCCACCAGAGGTGGCGCTCGCAAGTAGGAAGTAATCTGCTTTTCCTCCACAAGATGGCCCAAATCTCATGTGAAGTCTCTGACTTTTGTGTTGGCACCTCCTGGTGGACCATGTGTAAAATGTCAGAATTCATATGGCTGCTACAGCTGATATATATTTGTTGTCAAAATACCTTTTTAGTACATATGTTGTTAAAATAAAGTGAACAGTCCAATGATCATTTTACTGATATGTATAAAGACTGCAAAGGCTGAAAAATCTTGAAGTCTGTATGAAATTGAAGGTAATTTGAGGATTAAATTTTTTATGCTTTTTAAGCTCAAAAAAGGAGGGTTGTATTATACATGAGATCGTATTATACACGAATAAATACGGTAAGTCCCCTCTGTTGTCTCGTTCCCCACAGCTCCAGCATAGACGAGGCTGACGATTTCTCTCGTCACAACGTTGTGATCGGCAGCGGGATCGAGGCTCCAGATGGTATCGCAGTGGATTGGATCCATGGCAACATCTACTGGACTGACAGCGTTTTGAAAACCATTTCAGTGGCGACCACAGACGGCAGTAAGAGGCGGACGCTCGTCACAGAGAACCTCGGGAAGCCGAGAGCCATCACAGTCGACCCTCTCAACAAGTAGGCAGGATTTCTTCTCCACATCTCACAAATCGATTCAGCTTGAGATAAATTAATGGTTTACTCCACAGCTTTCAGTCCTAAGTAGTTCTGCTTTGTCATCTTTAGCTTCATGTACTGGACAGACTGGGGGGAGGAGCCTAAAATTGAGAAGTGTGGGCTAAACGGAGCCGGTCGCATCGTCCTAGTCAAAGACCACATTGAATGGCCCAATGGCATCACTCTGGGTAAACGGAGCTCTGTTTTTTTTTTTAATAGAAACAAATAATTTTCATAAAGCCGTGTAATGAGTGATAATAATCAGAGTTGCATCTCCTTTGGGCAGATATGCTCAACCAGCGTCTGTACTGGACCGACTCCAAGCTGCACACTATCTCCAGCATCGATGTGAACGGAGGAACCCGACACACTGTTATTTCCAGCGGGGAAGCCCACCGACCCTTCTCGCTGGCTGTCTTTCAGGTCAGTGATCATCAGATAAACAAGATACATTTTGCCATCCGTGCATTTTTATGAACTGACAGAACAAACCAGTTGATGCCAGGTTACTTATTTTAACAGGAGAAAGTTTTTTGGACCGATGTCAGCAAAAGCGCCATTTTTAGTGCCAACCGCCAGACTGGAAAGGACATCACTGAGCTGGTCTCTGACCTGGGACAGCCAGAAGACATGGTGCTTTACCACAGCCTCAAGCAGCCACTCGGTAAAAAGACGTGTTCATTATTTAGGAATCAACAGTGTGAGCTTTTCTAAGCTTTCTTCTTTCGATTCGTAGGTGTAAACTGGTGCATGCAGAGCAACAGCATAAAYGGTGGTTGTGAGTTCCTGTGCCTCCCTGCTCCTCTGACTGAAGCAAACTCTGTTCAATACACCTGCGCCTGTCCTGACAACAAGACACTCGATGCTGATATGAAGACGTGTGTGAGAGGTGCATGTCTGCTGCAGGGATTTAAAAGATATAAATCAAAACTCAACATTTATTTACTGTAACTCGTATATTTTCGTTTGTTATTCCAGATGGCTCAGCTGCACCCCAAGCTCCCAGCAAACAACCTTCCACTACAACAACTACTACCACAACTACTACCACAACTACTACCACCACTGAGGCCATTAAAAGGCCCACAGTTAGCTCGACTACCCAGTCAGCACAGAACACACAGAAACCTGGCGGCCCTCAAGGTAAATAAGAAGCACAATTTATTCATTTTAACGTGATAACCATTTCAAGATGACTTGTGGGAAAAATTTATGAGCAAATAACATGTTACCTGCTGTAGATAAATCTTTGAACAATCTATAAGCAGTGAGCTAACTGTGAGCGGGACCAAGTCACTAGTGGATTGCTGCTCTCTTGAACGAGTCGCACAAATGCTTTTTTTTATCAACCTTTAGAGTTTTGCATTAAACTGTCCAGCAGCAGTATTGTGATGTGCCTGCAGAAAGTACTACAGCCAGCTGCTACTTTTTGCACTTGAAAATAATCCGATATTTCTATGTAAATTGCAGCATTATGTCAGTGTGTTTTAAAACATAACATTTATAAAATAGATTTCATATGAAGCGCTATGAAATGTTTAAAATAGGAGTTGTTCTAGCAAATTGCTTTGATCTTAACTGTGTCAATATGATCAAAAATAAAGCAAAGTTAGTTTCTATCTGCAACAGGTAGGATATTTGTTGTTCATAACCTTTTCATGAACTCCCGCTCTGAACAATGTGGAGTACGGCTTAATAATAAAAGTTTGAACATATTTTTATGGCATCCGGTTACTGAAGTAAAGTTAAATTTCTAAATTATTTTGTTTTTGACTACAGAAATATCTTTATTTAGCTGAAACAAAATATATTTACATAAATAATTACTAAGAAGTGACACTCTGCAGCTTTCACTGCTGTATTAAATTATTTAGGCAAAGAAAAATATCAGCTTTTACAGTAAATATTCTAACATATTCATATAATTTCTGATAGTCTTATTGCATGAACAGAATAAAGCAAGTTTTGCACTGTTGGTGTTTTCAGGTAGAGTCCAGCCTGTGACGCCAGAGGAAGCCCCTTCATCCCACCACGCTGCTCTCTACATTGTGCTGCCTCTTGGTAAGTTCCTCATTTCAGCCATTCATCATTAAAGTTGCTTTCTCAAGCATAAAAATGAAAATGCATTTATAATTTCCTGTCATTTATCTTTCACCGCTTCCCATAACATCAGCACAACAACCTTATACCCTCTTGTTCCTCTGCAGTTATTTTAGTCATGGTTGCGTTTGGAGCAGTGCTGCTGTGGAGACAGTGGCGAGCAAAGAACACAAACTCCATCCACTTCGACAACCCGGTGTACCAGAAAACCACCGAGGACGAAATGCACATCTACAGGAACGGCTCTGACGGCTACGTTTACCCCGAGGTAGCTTCTCGTTGCCCTCGTCAGATTACATAATTTACAGCTCATTTTTAAGATGTCCCTTTTTCCTCACAGAGGCAAATGGTGCGCATGGACGACCTGGACATCGCTTAACCCGAAGATGAAGAAACTTTCCTCGCTCTCTTTCTCCAGAGAAACACAATATGCAGCTCAACAACTCCTCCCATTTCCCACAGTGACCTCACGCTGTGGTTTATGTTTCCGACCTCAGCGCTGTGCCAGCCGAGCTTGCGAAACGAAGCGTTTATTTGAAAACTTCAGCAAAAACGAGGCATCGCAGGACCACATAATCGTTTCAGAATGGAAGCCTGGCGCTTGGTTTCAGAGGATGATGCTCTCAGTTTAGGAGCTTTGACGCTATTTGAAAACCGTCCACATAAACGTCTAACATGCACGRGCTTGCTGCAACCAGCAGAAATGACCTGTCACATTTACCATTATCCACACCTGCAATATTTTCATGTGTGCCTTACAGGAAAAGCCTTAATATTTATCCCTTTGCCTTCTAAATCCTTGATAGCTTTATTAACGTCATTCTGTGGGCTTTACTCAGTCAGGGAACAGGGTTTGTCGCGTTAAAGAGGCGTTTGAGTTTGCTTTAAATCTGTAATATTTATTACCAAAGCTTGACATGTTTCGTCCAGACTCAGTGTAAGCGTCTGAGCCACAGGTAGTTTACAGTTTAAATGAAGAAGCTGCTGAGTTTTATTTAAGTGAACCAAAAATTGAAGTAAATGTTCTATTTTAAAAGATGGTTTATTTAGTGATTGTATTTGATTACTTATTGCTGTAAAAAAGTTACACTGTAAATATATTTGTATAAAGAGTTCTTCATTTTGCCTTATTTTTTGTTACATTTGTAAATATAATCAAGAAGTCTGTAAATATGTGACAGATTCTTATATTTATTGATGGAGGTTTCTGGATTTTTGTGAGCTGGCTGCAAGCAGAGTCGAGTCTTTGTGGAGAAGCATGTTTTGTTCCCGACGAGTCAGCCTCACCTTCACATTGTGCAGCTATTGTTTTACTGAAGTCAATCAGAACTTTGATTGTTCGTCATGTCTCAGTGAGAATGAAGAGACCCTCTGTTCCTCACATCGTTGCTGTCTGCAGTCACGACTCAGATTATTTATTTTTTATCTTCCTTTGTTCTGTTTCTATGTTTGTCGTGAGATTATGACATGTTCTGTATGTTAAAGATTTGTTGGGTTGATGCACAAGAGTTCTGTTTGAGTGGGTCACTTATTTTTTTTTTTTACAAAAATAAAACAGCTTAAATATTAACCTCTTTGTCTCCTGGATGAATGTGAGGATTGTTTCTGTATAAACAGTGAGCTCATCTCTAGATATGAACACACCATTTTCTGTCTGCTTCTTAGAAGTGTATATTTATGAGGAACCTGCTGTGCTTCTTAGTTTTATTGTTGGAAACAGACACAGAGAAAACATCCACTGAAATATCAAGTTATTTTAAGGTTAAACAGAGAAGATGTCTATAAAATCTGCTGTAGAGCCTGGTAACATGATCATCGCTCTTCATTTACAGCACAATAAAAGCAGCAAGACATGTGGTGTAAATGCAGAGGGCATTAACAAATCACTTTAAAAGGTCTGTCCTTCCTCTTCTTCTCCTCAGCTAATTTGCTCGTGCTGACCCCTCTTAGAGAGATGCAGCTGAAAAAAAGAAAAAAAATTTAGCTGAAACAAACTCATGAAAATAAAACCAATGTATTTAGTTTTACAAAATATACAGAGAATATTTTTATTAGAATCTCTTTGAGAAGTGACGGCAGAGACCGAATAAGACTGAAAAAGTGGCGGGCCTAACACCAAGATCCCCTCATGGTTAATCATAATGTGGCCTTTTCTTTGAAAACTGAGCTTGTGTGTGTGTGTGTGTGTGTGTGTGTGTGTGTGTGTGTGTGTGTGTGTGTGTGT